CTCTAATTTTAAAATGAATATAAATTTAACAGTTGAATTAATGATTTATTTACCTATTAGTTCTTAAAAGAACCGGTGATCTCTTAGTCTGAGTAGTGGGCACTCTTTGCAAGTAAGATAACCTCAACAAAGACCAAGAGAAGAATGGAGCGAACAGTCACTACACACCGCACACAGTAATGTAGCTATAGCAACTTTGCGCATGCGCATTTAATTTCAAAATGGCGTCTGAAAAAGAGAGGGGAGTGATAGATCACACCCAAATAATTATTTTTTTAAACTTGCAGTAAGTAAGATAATAAAAGCACTTGTCTTGTCCTTGACCCAAGCTCTAAGGAATGGTGTAAAAGCCATTATAACCTGTTCTCTAGTTTAAAAGATTTCCGTGTTGATAGAAGAAAGATGAAAGAAGAAGAAGAAAAAGTCTGAAGAATTTTGCAGATATTTGACCTATTAACCAGAATTGCTCCCGCTACATTGAGGTACACTTTATAAGTACCAGGAGAATCGCTCAGAGAAGGAGAACTCATCTAAGCCATTTATAAGGCCGTACAGAGTAAGATAAAAGAGTTATAATCATTTGAATATTAAACATTTGGTCGCCATCTTGAAAAATCAACCTCAACCATACATATAGGCTACCGCATATATAATATAGCTCCAAATTAGCCTGATATGGGTGCTTATGGGTGCATGGGTAACTATGAATTCTATTGAAGTGGCCTTAAAATTTTTTTTACTTCTTTAAATCCATGTACTGCCACCCTGTATTGAGCAAAAAATTTGATGTCGCGCACCCTGACAAATATTAACAATTAACTTACAATTCATTCCATTGTTATGAATGAATTCAATCCTTAGGTACCGAATTTAAACTAAAGGTTAAGTTTGCATATAAAACTAATTATAAGAAAAAAAGTGAAACTATATGACACATTTACCTAAAAGTTTTGAATGCAGCACATTACCAATAACATGAGTACATAATGATATACATATGTAGCTTCACATAGTAACATTACCATTACTTTAGGTCACTGTAAGGAAAATGATTCTTTACTTTCAGAGGGATGTACTTACATACAGGTAATGTGCACTGCAAAATATGTGTCCAATATGTTGTGCAGAGATAGATCTTTCTTGCCTTGAATATTATGTAATATATGTGTATTAAATTTAATTAGGGCCTGTGCCACATATATTATTATATAAAATTTTATCCTGGTTCCCATTCAATACCATACATAGTGGGACATTTTGGAGAGAGTTAAATTTGGCCAATTTAGCGTTTTGCTAGCCTTTCAACAAAATAAAATTTTTTGCTATTTTGAGCCATTATGTGCATGCTGAATGGCACGGCTGTAAATTTGCCAAATTAAAATTCGCCAATCACCAAAGTTAGCAATTCACCAAATTTAACTCACTCCAAAATAGTAAGTAATGTATAGACCCCCTAGGCGCTAAGATTATTTTCAATGAATATGATTACAATAATAATATTCATTCATAATAAATAAAATTTTCCTATACGGTATCCACCCACAATGTAAATTACTGATGGCAAGAAGGCCTCGAGATCAAAAGAAAATCAATGGCGGTGTAACCGCCTGGCCATTTTGTGAGCGCTACAAGGTACTACAGGCTTACAAGCAGCATTCATGGAAAGTATGGAGGCTAGACTACATCATATAGACCAGGTAACTCTTGCTGCAGCATAGTTTTCTTGCTATGCTGGCACCTTGGGCTTTGATCTGCCTTTGATGTGGAGAGCTTCTTGCAGTCAGTAATTTTATTCGTGGGTGGCTGCCGTAAATAATTCATTCAAAACAGTCATAGCGCCTAGGGGGTCTATACATACATGTACATGTTTCAGATGTATCCCTTATTATCTTCATAGCATGAAATCAGCAAGTAGCAGAGGGGGCTTTTTTGTAGAATCTACATACATGTATAATACAACATTATTTTTGTAGTGTGTTCAGCTGTCACATCAGAGTTCAAGTGTTGAGCCAATAACTGTACATACTATCAGCTCTCAAATGGGTCAGGTACAGATACTTAATCCAACTGCAGGGTATTCACTCCATCTTTCTCACAGCCTCAACATTTATTTCAAAATATTTATCAAGTAACTTCTGGTGTGTCTTTGTCACCTGGTGCCAGTAATTTGAGTCTCAGATCACATACCCTTTTTACACACTATAGTCAGCAACCCCCAGGATGGACTATATTTCTGCCTTGAGGTATATTACTGGTATACTTTATACCAGCACAAGACCACTTTGTGTGAGATTATCCAAAATCATTAAAAAATGTTAATAATGAAATACACATCTACATTCTCACTTTGAGTGGTCTATCGTTATCCATTATGCATGCACTACTATGGATCATTGTCAACTTAAAAATTACAACTTCTTAATTAGGAAGGCACCATCATTATTAAAGGATATGCTCACTTAATTTAACTGAATTATTAGAAGTATTATACTTTCTCTTACAACATTTAGATACATGCATATATAATACTTATTTGCATTTCATATGCTATAATATACAAGCAATTTTTTCCTTTTCTTAATGGAAATTATAGAAACTAAATCTTAAAAGTGATTTTGTGAGTGAGGCAGAACACAGTATGTCTTATTCCATGGTTTAGGGTGTGCAAATCGGTATAAAGTCAGGCAAACAGCACAGGATCGAGATTGTATAAAGCCTTTTATGAAAACACAACCAACATTTCAATAAAAAAAATTTTTTAATAATAAAATTAATGCACAAGTTCAATAAAATGCTGTCACTGATCCATATTCCACTTAGTCTCGCAAGCCAGATCCTTCCCGCCAACAGTCGAGACTATATTCTACTTGGTCCTAATTAAGATAAAGAAAAAAAGGGAAGAAGCAGTAAGCAAAGGCCTTAAACAAAAACATAAGCCTGAAATGTGCATGATTTTAAAGAGAGCAGGGAGGAAGGAAACATGTACATGAGTTAGATCAGTGAACCTTGGAAATAATTTTAATGGCATTACTATAGAATGAATACATCTCAGTTGTACTGAGATGCAGCACTAGCACTAAACTGACCTCAATACAATATATATATATATATAGCCATGAAAAGAACTTACAAGACATCCAGCCAGACAGCAATCAAGGTGAGATACAAACCGCAAAGTCCTAGTTAGCCCCATTCCCCAGCAGTTACAGTCATTTGGCTAGCAAGGCTTGACCACCAGCAGTTCAGCTGAGAAACTAGAGTAGCAGAACGTTGTCATGTTAGAGTAAAATTTGAAGAAATGCTTATCTTCCCTCTGTGCCATTGTCTTAGTCAGGCTACTTACATGCTACTCCCATCTTTTGGTGTTTTCTCATTAGAATCCAGTACCTGACTCTTCTATTATTGCTATTTCTAAATAATGCGCGAAGGCCCAATGGGCTGGGCCTAGTTACTTAGTCTGTATTATTATTATAGCCCTAGCTGCAGCTTCTTCTAGAATTCGCACGTGCACATCTAGCCCAGGGATGTAGCCCTTTCTCCACTTTATTCGTGTTTTCCGTCGCAAGACTTTGTCCTTGGTTTGATTTCCTTACCTTAATTTCCAGGTCAGTACAAAATTGGCCTGTATATACAGTTTATATTGATAATAAGACAATGCACCAGAAACTCATCATGTTGTGGGATGATGTGTATTATATATATATATAAAGAAAGCTGTTATCAATTATTGTGATGGTCATATTTATGTTAAACTTTAAAAGGCATGAAATAATTCAAATAATGACAAATGGATCACGGCACTGCAGAAGGGGTGTCATCTTGTACTTGCAGCCAGACTCTCCACCCCTTTTTAGCTGTGCGAGACCAGAAGGGGTCTTGCTAAGTTCTAAAAACCATAAACTGTATTAATAACAAGAACATAAAAATTTAAAACAAAAACAAGATGAAGTAGGATTCTGAATGACCAACGAAAATACGAATTAAAAATCTTACTCTCGTGACGCAAATTCTACTCCAAATTGTACATTCAATGTTATTATGTATGACATTACTGATCACCTTGCAATGTAGAGTAGAATTTGTGTCATGAGAGTAGGATTTTCATTTCATATTTTCATTGGTCGTTTGGAATCCTACTTCATCTTGTTTTTTAATTTTTTTACATTCTTGTTTGTGTTAATTTTTTAATGATATTTCTTCAGTTGCCATTGTGATACTTGTTGGTTTTACACAAACAATAAGTTTATTATTATGTTAATGTAATCACATAACACTAAGTTGGTATATGTACAATATCGGTCTATAACAAATAGACTATGATATAAATCACATGCTTAAATGTCTCCTTAAGATTCTTGCAGTCCCCAATAATGCTGTTTTCTGTAAGTGTTCGATCTTTAACTTCACATCTGCTCTCTTGATCCATTCACTAATCCTCATTGACACCGCTCCCAATGCTCCAACAAGTATCGGTATCACTTCCACTTTCTTCATTCCCCACAATCTTATAATTTCCTGCTTCAACTCCTGGTACTTCTCCACTTTTTCTTTCTCCTTGGTCTCAACTCTAGCATCACCCGGTACAGCAACATCTATAACAAAACAACTCTTCTCTGACTTCTCCACAACAACAATATCTGGCTTCCTATGCTCTACCACCCTATCACATTGTATCATAAAATCCCTCAGTATCTTCACAACATCATTCTCCACCACTCCTTCAGGCTTATGCTCATACCAATTACTAGCTCTTTCCATCCGAAACTTTCCACACAACTCCCAATGGATAAACTGTGCAATCTTGTCGTGTCTCCTCTTGTACTCTCTTTGGGCCAATACTTTACACTCACTTACTATATGATAGACACTCTCACCTTTCTCTTTACACAAACGACACAGTGGTGACTCTATGGTTTTATCAATCTTACACTTGGTGTAGTTAGTTCGTAATGCTTGCTCTTGAGCCACACACAACAGAGCATCAGTCTCCGGTTTCAAGTCACATTTCCTCAACCATTGCCACGTTCCATTAAAATCAGCACACTCACTCACCTCCCTATAATATTGCCCCTACATTTTCTTGTCTTTCCATCTGTTTTCAGTTTCCATCACTTCCCTTCTTTTATAATCTTTTGTCTCCATACTCCTCTCTACATCAACTATTTAGC